ATGGGTCCCCGCTCTTTCGCGTGGTGCCGGGCTCCCCCCCTCTGCCCCGAACGACTTTGAGGTTAGGGGAAAGGTTTTGCTTTGCGTGTGTTACAAAAAACCAAGGGTTGCGGCGTTGGGGCTTGATGCTGGCGGTTTCTCGGGTCTTCTGCGTCCGCCGCCCTGCTTGGTACCTGTGTGTCTGCCAGATCCTTGCTCTCCGTGGCTGGCCACATGATCTGCATCTGATGTTCTGTAAAATATGCAAAGCAAAGCACAGGCTTGGGCCTTGTCGGCTGGCTGTGAGCTGCGATGCAGCTGCAGTTGACGGCAGCGCCACGCAAAACCATTGCATTGCACTTGTTGCAGAATGCAGTCACAGAGTGCAAGGAACTGGCGGCGCACGGCTGCGGCCGCCCCGATCGCTGCCGCTCGCGTTGACCATGCAACACTGGCTGACACGTAGCCGCAGCTTGAGTTCCCGCTGGGAGCTTGTCGGCTTGCAGGCTGCAGTGGCGGCAGCGGTGGCGGCTAGCGGCATCGTCGCGAGCACTGCACACGCGGGGACCCGCGCGCAACAATGATCATCAAAGTGAGGCACGGGGCGCGCGTGTCATGCTTCGAGTTACCAGTCACCTTACTTATGTGCACAGGAGTGTGGCATCGCGGCGCATCACAGCCAGCTGTGATGCTCTGACTGGCAATGGGTGTGGGGTGTGTGGGTCACCTGTGCTGAGTGGGCCGGTGACCTGCAGCTCCCTGCGTACTGGCATAGTTGCTTGATTTGCCCCGTTACCAGACAAGCTAGAGGTTGGCACTGCTTGCAAACTCAGAGGTTCTGCACATTGCTTGATTTGGTTGCATAGAAGTTCGAGCGCGCGACCGGCAAGAGTGGCGACTTGCGGTGAGACACAGGCGATGGATGCGCTTATGGGCTGACACCCCACGCGCGCGTGGCTGATCGAGGCCATATAATTGATAGGTAGAAAGTTGAGAGTCGCAGACACGAAGCAGAGGGCAGGGAATGAGAACCTCGCCGTTTGCTGACGGTGTATTTACTCCGCTTCGGGATAAGCGCAAACAAGTGCGCCAATTGCACGTTTCAGGAAGCAGCGTAGTTGTATCAGCACACCTTAACGGCCACAGTCTCTCGCCCCGACCTCACCGCCTTGGCGCCCATCCTCCCCTCCCGCCCCACTGCACTTCCCAGAATCTCGCGCAGGCTGCTGCACCGCCGCCCCAGCTTTGGTCTAGCGCCACCAGCCCACTTTAAGCTTGCTCGCCGTCGTGATTCCCATCCATCACGCCCAACCTTCTGGGACGGCTGAATTGTACAGCCGCGAGCCCGGCCGCGGCGCTGGCATGGAGCCCGACACCCTCCCCACGTACGAATGGCTCATCGTTGGCGCCGGCATCACCGGCATCTACGCCTTGGGAAGCTTTGCACGCGCGGAGCGCGCCGACGTACTGCTGATTGAACAGCAGGACCGGTGAGCATGTGCCTGCGCGCGTGCCTGCGTGCACATGCATGGTGCAGCACGCGAGGCATGACGGAGAGCGAGGGGCCGAGCAAGCCTCAGCGGGCTGGCTTCTGGGCAGTGCTGCTGCGGCCACCTACCAGCTTGTTGGGGCCATGGCTGGCTGCACACGCGGTATCGAGCGGTCAAGCAGCTGTGCGCGTGTCGCACTCAAGCAAGATTCTCGGCCTGACCCATTCACACTGCATGCGACTAGCGTTTTCACCCTTATCTCAATGCAAGCACACACCTACCATGGCCCTCCGTTGCCTGCCGGCAGCCGTATCCAATCCTAAGTACCTCTGCATTCGCTCGCCCACCGACCGCTGCGCAGCATCGGCGGTCTTTGGGCCTGGATCCCGCGCTGGCAGACCGTCCAGAACGACCCCATCGACTTCTGCACCGAGGGCTTCACGACGCGCAAGGCCGTGTGGACTGCCGACGATGTGGTGCACATGCTTGAGACCAAGGTGCGCCTCCAGGGGCTGCTGCCGCACATCCGGCTCGGCCACAAGCTGGCAGGCTACGCGTGGTCTGACAAAGAGCAGCAGTGGGTCTGCCAGGTGCGCTGTGCGCTGTTGGTGCGTCGGTGCTGCGCATGCGTGGGCGAGAATGTGAGAGATCGCAAACGCCCTGGCGTTGCCTGCAGCGCACCGGAGACCGTTGTGCACAACGGCGGGTGCTTGTGTGGGTGGGTGTGCATGTGTGCGTACCCGGGGGGGAGGGGTGCGCGTGCGCGTCCATTTGTGTCTTTGCACGTGCGCTTGCTTGTGTGCACCCGCCACATTGATATTTCATCGCCATTGCGGCGATTTGCTTGCAAGGGGTGGCACGTGGGTGCATGTTGGTTTTTTGGGGGGGGGGGCGTGCGCACGCGTGCGTGCGTGCGTGCGTGCGTGCATAGGTGCGTGTGTGTGTGTGTGTGTGTGTGTGTGTTTGGGGGGGGATGATTGCGCAAGGGGCAATTACAATTACAGGATGCATGAGAATGGTAGAGGGCGATATAGAGTGAGGCGGCGCAGAGCCTGCAGCATCAGTGTGTGTGCAGGTACGGCGGCGCCATGATGCACACGGGGTCCAAGTGTTCCACCAATCCTTTTTACCATTCCTTGCCTCCCCCTCCTTACTCCCCACTCAGATCCCTGACAACCATTGCATTCAACCCCTCAGGTTTCTCGCCTCACGGACGGCGCCAATCTCGAGACTCGTGCACGTCGCATCCTCCTGGGCACCGGCAAGCACGCGCGGCCCATCATCCCTCCCATTCCCAACGACAACAGCGTCGCCATCATGCACTCCAGCCAGATTACAGATTTTGCTGCCGCCGCCAGCGGCAAGCGTGTCGCCGTCGTGGGTGCGGGCGCGTCGGGGCTCGACCTCTGCCTCAACAGCCTCGAGGCAGGCGCTGCGGGCCCGGTCGAGTGGATCCTGCGCGAGCCCAAATTCTTCTCGGGGTGCGAGGTCAGGACGATGTGGCCCATGGTCATGCTGCAGCTGATGCTCGGCGCGTTTGCCCTGCACCTGCTCAACCTGGCTGTCAACCTGGCCGTGTTTCTGCACCACTCTCTCGCGGGGACCCGCTCCTGGGTGCCGCGCGCCTGGTTCGACATGCGGCGCACTCAGTACGTCCCCGGCCGCAGCCTGCTGCTGCGCCGGCGCAAAGACCTGTCGCGCCACGCTGGCGCCGAGGTGTCCAAGGTCGAGGGCGGCGCCGTGCACCTGTCGACCGGCGAGGTCCTCCACGGCATCGACACGCTCCTGCTTGGCACCGGCTACGCGCCGCCAGAGCGCCCCGACGGCTTCGAAAAGCCAACCAACTTTGCCGCCTTCCTTGCCACCGGCCCCAAAGCTGCCGGGAAGCTGCTGCTGGTGGGTGAGGATTTGCTGGATGCCACTGGAAAGTGCCCTTTGGCGCCTGCACGCTCTTCACCTCGTGGGCAGCGTCGGCCGGCCCGCCGCCGCACCCCGCGCTGCTCGACCCCGCAACGCCAGAGGCGGGGCCGCGGCGGCTGCTCAACGGCGTGGAGCCGCTGCTCGCGGCCGCGCCGCTCAGCCGCGCGCGCTTCCCGTTTGCCGTGTGGCGGCTCAGGGTGGGGCTCATTTACATGTATTATCGCCTGGTCCACCGCACCACCGTGTTCTTCCCCGAGCGCATCATCAAGCTGGGGCTTGTCCTTGATAACCTGCCCCGCGCGCCGCCCAGTGGTGTTGACGGCGCACCCGCCAGCGCGGGTGTCGAGGGGCTCGGAGTCGCAGACGACTCGGCACTGACCGTGGTAATCGGTGGGTAGGCTTTGCTGCCATCATCATTTTTTCAGGGCAAGTACTGTTTTTGAAGCCCTGCAGAGCGCTTTGCATCCCTTCCAACCGCCTTTTCTGAAATCCGCGCGCGAGCCCGCCTTCCTCTGAAGTCGCGCAGCCTCCTGGCTCCTTCGCTTCACGCCTGTGCTGAAGCCCTAATTGTCATACTTACTACGGTAAAGCGCATGGCCGGCATCATGTTTGTCTTTTATGTTATCACGCCTGGGGATGTGCCCGTACCCCTGGTCTGCAATGTGTGAACTCGCAATGATAATATCGGGTGAGGAGCAGCAACCACATTCATCCCCTTGACAATATTGATTTTTTTCAATACTGAGTGCTTGATTATGTTGTGCTGTTCCCCATCCGATTTCGCAGCCCAATTATTCCTTGGTGTGGAAGACTATGACTCTTGAGATTTGCTACTTCTGTCTCACCTGTACCTAACACGTGACGCAAATGGATGGGGTTGGCAAGTCAACCACGTGAAGCACGCAATGGCACACAAGGAGCTTCAGCAGTGATTGTAATGAGTCAAGTGATCCCTGGCTGAATTACTGCAGCAACCGCAAGAGGGGTGTTGGCGGGCTAGCACTTCGCCGCCGCTGCGGACCGCATGTGGGGTCCACGCCTCGCTCACGCGGTCCGTTGTTGGGGTAAGAGACCTGTTGCTGCTTTGCGTGTCATGCTGCGGCAATTATGGGTCATGTGTAATTGGATCGGATAGGAGACCAGCTGGGTGTGCGCGTATGTGCGTGCTGACATGCACAAGGGGCGCAGGTGTGCAGCGTTGCCAGCCGTCAACAGGGCAGCTGCACTTTCCGGCACCCTGTGTGCATCCCAATTATGTGCTTGGACAGGCATGGGGCACCTTGATTTCGCATGTACTCAACCATGACACACAAGACACTTGGCAGGGCCGCCGTCCAAATGCCACATGTGACGTGCACATCCGTGCGCTTTGATGTGCTCTTAATATGGTAATGCTAGGAGTTGCTGACAAGCGCCTCCTTTTTGTAGGAAAAAATAGCTTCCATCAGCACTGCCATAGCGCGCGTGCATGCTCCAGCCTCTGCAGGCAGCTACGTTGGCGGTTGGTGCCAAGCGTGGTGCTGTGTGCAACAGGATGGAACCCGCAAGGTGCAAATAACGTCGTCACAAACCCCATTTGCGCCGGAAAATGTATACTCGGCGTCAAGTTGCAATACTGCGTGTCCATTCGCTCGTATCTGTTGTTGTGGCTCCTTGTCGCGGGCGAAGCCGGGTGACAAGCGCACACGAGCGAGTCAAGGTCGCAAAAAATCATAGTCTGGCTTCTCGGAAGGCCTGCTGAGCGTAGCGAAGGGCGGTGAGTCCCGCACCGTGTGCGCCCGAGCGCTGCTTGTGCTGCGCAGCAGAACGCATCTAATGGATTGCACGTGCAAGCGGATGCAGCAGCAACGCGGCAGCTGGCGGCTTGTCTTCGCAGCACTAAAGTACCTTCGCCATTTGCATCGCTGTTCACCAAGACGCAGCATATATACCTGCCTAGCCGCAGCCGGATGGGGGGCAATCTGCGTCTGTTGGGCAGCGTGTTGACCGCCGCGATTGCGACCTGCACGTGCACCAACATGCAAGCAAGACATGTGTGCGCATGCACATGCAGATCCCGACGCATGCACACACTGCAGGGAGACCGCCATGCTGCTCGCGGAGGCACCCGGAGCGGTGCAGCTCATGCTGGGTGGCGATGCGGGCGGGACTCTGCCACCGCTGCTGCACCCGTCCACCTCCCTGGAGCAGGCCGTGGCTGACGACACCCTGGGCATCGGATTCGCAGCTGCCGGGTGAGCTCGTCGCTGTGCATCAAGAACGCATTCCCCTCTTGAGGCTCAAGCCGTGCAGGACACGGGCTGCGTGGCTGGCGGGCATGGGCCGCACACTGCCAAAAGCACCATGGGCTCGTACGCTACCTCTGCTGCATATGCGCAAATTTTTTGCCGCTCTGCTCCACATCACCTCAACGCCTTGACACGGACATCCCAAATTACTCATCTTGCGTGCTTGGGCAGCTTCCTGGTGTTCTACATGGTGGGCGTCAACCTGTCCCTCAACCGCCTGGGAATCATCACGCCCAGCCGCGTGCGAAGCGCGGGGTCGTCGGTGGGCGCTCTCCTGATGGGCATAAACTATGTAGGTGAGTAACTCTGTACATGAACACGTCATCCAACCGCAGACAAGGACCACCACGCCCCACACAGCGCAGAATGCTTCTCAGCTTCCCCACATAGATTTTTTTCCCAGCACGGCTAGAGCAGCAGCAGCTGACACGCACGCGCAACCGGCTTCACAACCCCCACAAATGACGCCAAGTGCGCTGACCCTCCGCCGCTTTTGCCGCCTTTAGGCATGGGCTCGCACGACGAATTCTTGCAGCACGGCATTCCTTTCAGTGAGCGCTGTCGGATGGTTGGGCTGCGCAATTGCTTTGAGAGTCTCGATGAGGCGTACACGGTGCTCGTTGAAAAGGTGGGTGTGAGCATGCGCGCGCACGCATGCATGTGTTGGTGTGGAGGGAGGTCTAGCATGCAATGCTTTGTATAGCAGAACGGGGTTCAACACTGAGCGTGTGCCACACAGGAACCTGCAGGCGTGTTTTGCAGGCGCTTGCATTTTTCTGATGCTTGCGCCCACTGATGGCAGGTGCTCAAGCCAAACGTGTCCGAAGCGATTACAGGACGGGCTTGCATGGTCATTTCACGCAACACCACATCGCACCCCGTTGGCGAGGCGGTCTGCACATATGGCAGCCGAGAGGAGGTGCGCCCAGGGCAGGAACTTCGGCGGCAGCACGTGTAGCTTGATGATGGCATGGGGCCTCGTCACAGTTGCGGCAGGCGGCACTTTGTAGAGCAGCGCCAACTGTGCGTGCGCCTTCACCCTGCGCTTGCAAGGTCAATCATGATTCTGCCAAGGTCAATCGTGATTCTGCCAGTCTTGCAGCCCTGCATTGCCCGCTGCTTTGCCCTCAGGTGATCAACACGCTACGCGCAAGCGCTTTCGTGCCTGGCTGGTCGGCACGCACGCCTACAATACAGCTGAAAGGCGCGCCAGCGGTAAGAGCCCCTGGCACCGGCACAGCGTGCTGGGTGCCTGGTTACCGCAACCCTGACCGCCCAGCCTCCTGGTGCCAATACAAAGCGCCCACATGAACGGGTACTGCCACAACTCCATGAACACAAAATTATCACCCGCAGTTTGATGGGATATTTTCACAAATGCTGCCCTGCCCGGATGGGGTGACCTACTGCATCAAGGTGAGTTGGTCCCGGCATCCATGCACAGGAAGGTCAGGGAATGCGCCGCTGCCGCTGCCGCTCCTGTTGCTGCTGCTGCTGCTGCTGCTGCTGCTGCTGCTGCTGCTGCTGCTGCTGCTGCTGCTGCTGCTGCTGCTGCTGCTGCTGCTGCTGCTGCTGCTGCTGCCGCTGCTGCCGCTGCACTGCTCAAGTGACGCGAGACCGCTGCGCATAGCTCCTGACCTGAGGGTTCGAGACGCAGTCCCTTGCCATTAGAATTTCAGGGCATGCACTCATCCACGCAGAACCCTCGTACGCCCTGTTCCTCACCTTCGTTCGCCCGGCTACACATGCATGCTATATGCTGGTGCTAGGGAAGGTGCTCGTCCCTGTCTGGCCGTCCCTAGCCCTCTTCCTTTTGACCCACCATGTTGCAACGCTGTGTCCCTCTGTGCCCCTCGCATATGCCTTCCACATCCAACAGATCTCTGCGCTGCCGCCCTTTGAGCCGCGGCGCACTTTGGAGGGCCTCCTGGACCCCCGCGAGCTGTGGTCCACCCTCAAGGCAGCTGCGTTCGCGGCACGCGGCTGGCTTGGCACCAATCCTTGGAAAGCGCTGACGGGTGCCTACACGAGCGGGACCCTCACGAAGCTGGACGTGCGCGCCTGGTCCAAGATCCTCGCTGCAAACCTTGAGCCCGTCGCAGATGTGTACCCGGGGCGGTGGCGGCGGTGCGTACCTGGGAGCGTGATGATCCTGCTTGACAGGGGTCAATGGGACACTGCAAGCCAACAATTGCCGCGTGCGTGCAACCATAACACTGCTGTGCATTCACCCTCATCGCATACAGATCAGCTCACTATGGCCAATGGCTAAAATCTCTATCTGTGTATGCAGGAGCGCGCTGTCGCCAATCCAGTGGTTCACATTCATGCTCAACCCCCCAGATGAGGCCACGATCCGCCTCATGTTTGCTGAGGGGCAGGCTGACGGCGAAGCGTGGGCCAGGGCACAGGGCTGGCCGATGGAAAGCCTGGAGTGAAGATGTCACTTGCTGCCTATGCGTTGCCCTGCCTCTCTTCTTATTGGTGGTTGCAGAGATATGCCGGCGTAGCCCCTCGCCTGGTCATACATTGGATGCCTCTTTTCCGTATCAAGTTTTGCCAAATTCTGTTGTGGCCATTGATCAAGATCAAGCTCATGGCTTGTATTCACCCTAAAGCGCCTGCGTTGTTTATTTGGCTCCGCAGAACTGAAATGTCACTGAAGAATATGCACGTCTGCACGAGTCCAGAGCATGTGTGCCCAAACTTGACATGGTATATGCTGCTTTCAAGGACTTCATTTGTGCGCGTCGTGCCACACACGCATGCATGTGTACCAGCTCTGCACATCTCACATTTGCAATGAGAACCCCCTCTGCTCAGCATGGGCGGGTGGGTCGCGTTGCGCAATGCATGCCAAGTAACCAGATATTGAAAAATGGTGACACGTGACGCATTTTCCTGCCCCGATGTCAAGCTTGCATGCAGGCATGCATTTGTCCTGGGTTCAGGCGGGCCAACAGAGAGCTGTGACAGCAAGGTTTGACTGCATGTTGACTAAGTGATGAAAGCGGTGCAACAGCTGCGACAACTCATTTGCAATCAAAATCAGTACCTATGTTGATATAGTATTCTTTCATTACGAAGGGCCGCGTACCGGCCCGTGCGCTGGGCGTGCTTCAAGGTTGATCTAGCCAGGGAATCTCTCGTTAGTCGTTACGCAGCTGAAATGCACATCATTCATATGATGAGGCGGTTCTTACCTAATTTATTTTGCCTACCTCACTGGATCGTGATGGACTGACAGTGCTCTATGCGACAAAATACTGCGCGAATGTGAATATGCTGCCCTTTTCGCTTTCACGCACGCGCGCTTATAACGACCGCGTCAAGAACTTGACAGGTGCGTCAGCAGCTGCCCAACGCAGCAGGCGCGCGTGGATCGTGATGTGCCCTCGTCGCCGCTGCTGGGCCTATGCATTTACGGCGTCGCGGCCCGCTCTCCCCAACGCACGTCTGCTGGCAGATGCCCGCCTCGCAGTATCCAGCAGCATGGCTCTGGCCGCAGCGATTGGCGGCGAGCCTGCGCTTGACGGCGGGAGCGCAAGCGCCCGCGACCAGCCCACACCACTGCAGGACTGCAGCTGCGACGACCCCGGCATTGTCAGGGCGATGGGCGAAATCGGGACGCTCCGGTCGCAGCTGTCCGGGCTCGAGTGCGCTCTGTCAGAGCTGAGGCCCGCGCCGGGCGCGGAGACAAGGGGCGGGAGCCCAGCCGCAGCGCGCAGCCCGGGCGGGCTGAGCGGCTCGTCTCGATTAACGTCCCCCTTGGAGGGCGGCAAGGGGCCGCCCGCCTCGCAGCAAGCACAGCGCCAGGGACAACGGCATCGGCAGCAGCAGCAGCAGCAGCAGCAGTGGCAGCGTCGACTTGAACAGGCGCCAAAGCCATCCCAATGCCCCCACGTGGCGCCAGGCGGGGGTGCCCGTCCAGCCGCGTCACGGCCGTCCGCGCCGTCATCTTGGGCGGCAGCAGGGAGAGACAGCAACCCTTGGGACGACTCGGCCGCTGTGGTCGGCCTGGGTCGCCGCCTGCCCTCCCCTCCAGCGGCCCTGGGAGCCGAGGCGACCAGGTCGTCGCAGGCGCAGCCGTGGCACGGGCGGCGGCGGGAGCCGGGGCTGGATGAGACGCAGCTATTGAGCGAGCGCAGCGTGGAGGCGTTCCTTAGGGTGCGTCTGGCTGGCTCATCGCTGGCTCATCATCGCGACCGCTGGCTCATCGCTGCCCCAACCCTGTCGGCCTCCTGTTGAGTGCAGGGTGCTGCAGGGTGCTTGGAAGCGCCCTGGACGGGCATGATGTCGGCATGTTTCTAGGCCTAAGAGGCCCTAGTGCTTGCGAAGTTGTCAACAGTGCCGGCCCTGTCGCTGCCGCAGGAGCCTCTGGCGGGACTGCTGGCGCGCAGCTCGGCGCCCGAAACGGGGCCGACCCCCGTCGGCAGGGAAGAGGCGCTCGCCTTGGAGGCACGCCTCGCGCGCCTGCTACCCCCTGGCGCGGCCCTGGCACTGCAGGCGCGCCACTCAGCCGCCGCCGAGCAGCACGCTCCCGGCGCCCCACCGCGGCAGCGGCCGGGAGCGCTCATGGGCAACGCCGCCGGCAGCTTTGTGGCCTGCGCGTGCAAGGAGGAGGGCGGCAAAGACACTGGCGACACGGCGCGGCGGCAGGAGCGGCAGCAGCAGGCGCTGCCAGAGGCGGCGAGCCCGCTGCTGCTGGCGGCGTTCTCTGCGTTGGACGCTCTGCTGAGGGACGCTGCCAATCAGGTGCCGGTGGGAACGGATTGGTGGGTGCGTGGCGGCGCTCGCCTGCAGACACGGAGGAGTGACTCCGAGATGCTTGCTATGTGCGGCACAGTGTGGAGTGGGCATGGGTCCAGGGAGCTGCCTGCGCACGATCACACGCGTTTCAATGGGGCCCTGCCAGCTGTACTGCAGTCCCTCAAACGCAGTGCAGCCCCGCCCCTGCCCCTGCGTCAGCAGCACCCCCTACCAACGCCGGGGCACCGGGCCGCCGCCCGGGCGCCGCGCCGTGCCGCGCAGGTTGCGGTCGGCTGCGCCGAGCGCGGCCGGGTGCTGGAGGGGTTGCGCCTGCGGTACGCGGAGCTGCTTAATGCGATGGCGCTCGCCCTGGGCTGCTGTGAGCGGCGCAGCTTTGGCCTGCAGGCGTCCCTGGACGCCGCACGCGCTGCCGCCCTCACAGCCGAGGGCAGGGCCGCGGCGGCGGCCGCGGCGGCAGCTGATGCGAGGCGCGAGGCCGAGGGCGTGGCGGAGGCGGCGGAGGCGGCAGGGGCGGAGGGAGAGGCGCGGGCCGAGGGGGGCGAGCGGGCGGCGGCGGCGCTGAGGCGGAGGGTGCAGGTGAGCGCGGGCAGTGTCGAGGTGCGGCGTGTCGTGGGTCGCTGGGCGGAGTCCCTCGGCTGCAGGGTTGAATCAGGGCACTGAGCAGGTGGGGCTGCATCATTCAACGCTGACACTAGTAACCAGTCTATCTTGACCACAAGACCTGCACCAGATTCCAGCCCGTTATGACCCAACACACCCGCACTCACACGCGCACACACACACACACACACACACACACACACACACACACACACACACACACACACACACAC